ATGATAATATTAGCCAAAGGTCAAAAATAGTCCATCAGGAAGGTTCTTGATTATCTAGAGCATTATCAGGGAGTTTTTGGTCAGTAAATTGGAATAAGAGTGGACTTATACTACCCAGACGGGCATCTACTAGTCAGATCAAATGTTTGGAGACTTGACTAAATATCGACACCAGCGATAGCCTTTTACTTATCCGAGGGTCCATTTATTTAAAGGGACCAAGAGGAGCTTCATTTATGATGACCTTATCCAGAAGATCAAGGACAGAATCTCAAGCTGGGCCTCACGTTTACTATCACCTGGGGGTTGCATTACTCTGCTAAAGTCGGTACTTTCTTCTATGCCACTGCATTGTCTTCAGATCTTGCAACATCCTAAGGCTGTCCTGAAGAAACTTGAGAGCATCTTTGCCAGATTCTTGTGGGATTCTAAGGATTAGGGGCGATGTTTGCATTGGAGGAGTTGGAAGGAGATTTGCCTTCCTACAGATGAGGGTGGTCTGGGCTTTAGGAGGTTATAGGATATGGTGGATACCTTCTCCATGAAACCCTGATGGTTGCTCCGCTCTCAGAGATCGCTTTGGGCCCAATTCTTACTGGGCAAGTATTGCATAAGGGCACACCCTTCACTTGCAATAGTTTCACAGTCAGCCTCTCCCACCTAGAAGAGGCTGAATCAGTAAGGCCACAGACAGAGCCACATATTGCTTTGCACCTTAGAGCCGATCAGATTTTCTTCTGCCACGACTGTTGGATGGGTGAGTTTACACTGGCGTCCCTCTTCCTACACACGTACCACACATCTGCAAGGGTATAGGACTTTTTTGATGACACTGGATGGGACTTTGGATGATTATTGTGGGCTCTTCCCCCTCATATGGTAGAGCAGATAGGGATGATACCTTTATGTGTTGATGTCCCCAACCGCATCGTTTAGAGGGCCACATCAAATGGTAGCTTTGCTACCAAATCAACATGGCAGCTAGTTCACTCAGCTCACCAATCTCAGGACTCGTATCGATTACTGTGGAGCTCTATCTTGCCTACCACTATTTCATTCTTCTGCTAGAGACTATGGCAAGATCTCATTCCGATAGATGTGGTTATCCTGAGAGGGATTTGGCATCACTTAGCTTCTCGTTATCAGTGCAGCTCTGAGATTTAGACCATCAGTTATATCTTCACTGGTAGCAACATCTCCTTTCAGGTATGGGAACACTTTGGGGACATCTTTTAGATACCTATAGATGGAGGTATCCTAGACAGTATGTTAGCAGAGGACACATTCGTACTATTATTCCTTTATTGATATTCTGGTTTTTATGGACCGAGAGAAATGATGTGAAACACAGAGGGATCCATATGTTACTAGACGTATCATTTGAAGGGTCTACCGAACTATCTCTTTTCTTCATATGGAAAGACTCTTTAGAGCACTGGCGAGGGGACTTGATGCTTGCATCACTTTGGCATTTCTATGACTCTACCTTCTCCACCACTACCTATTATTGTTGTTTGGTGTACTCCATCGGTGGGATAATATAAGATCAACACCAATGGATGCATCAAGGATGGATTTGCGAGTGGTGAGGGTATCATCAGGGAATTCTCAGCATCATACGGCCCATGTTTGATTCTGGAGGCCGATATCAGAGCTGTACTGGATGGGGTTCTATTGGCCAGAGGACTTAGACTATCAGGCATTTGGATAGAGTCAAGCTCTACTATGGCCATCCATTGTATCACCGGAGGTGAAGGACCATGGGAAATTCAAGGCATACTCAGACAGATCACAGACATTATATCCTTCGACAGAGATACAGATTCGTACATCTAGAGAGAGGGGAACCAGGTTGCAGATGCTCTTGCTATTGAAGGATGGGATCATCGACGTTACCAGGTATATGGACCACTTGACCTATCTCGACATATTAGGGCACTTGGACAAATTGATAGACAGGGAATGCCCAACAATAAAATTTAATTTTTTATTACTCTTTAATTACTTTAGTTCCTTTTGAAAGGGAAGTGGTACTTTCTTATTTATTACTTTACATTTGTCCATTATCATTTACTTTCTTTGTAAGTGAAGTAGTACTTCCTCATTTCTTACTTTTATTTTTTCTACATGTAATCACAGTATTCCTCCACCACAGTTGAGGACATATTAATAAAACTAACGAAGGTACCACCCTCTTTCCACTAAAAAAAACCCTAAACCCCAAACCCTAAAACTCTAAACCCATTTAGATTATGATCTCCCTAATAGAGTATGGACGGAGAGAGGAAACCAAGGTGGCTACTGGCAAGAGGTTGTACATGAAAAGAAACCTGATTTTTGTTACAGATATAGAAATTTTGGCACACAGATGTTTAGTGTAAGCTTGGGGCAAGACTAGTACCTCCTCCTATTGTTGGTCCTATTCCTCATCCTACAATCCTAGCTAAGGACAAGATTAAGGGCAAGGTGGTCGAAGTGAGCCACACTAAAAATGGACCCTCGTTCGTAGAGAGCAGAAGAAATAGCAGGCCAATACTTCAAATGATTGTGCTCCCCAGAATATTCCACCAGTAATGGATGGTGTCCCTCCAATTCCAAGCATTAAACATACCCAGAGACAGATGGTCACCCCGCAAATACCTGATAAATGTATTTTATGCACTTATTTATGCCATTAAAATTGAGTATTTGTTAAATAATTTGATGGAATATGACTTAATCCTATTTATATATTGTGTGTAGGTTACAATCAATGGAAGATACGAGAATGAAGAAAATAAGCAGGAAAAATTACTCAACTACATCAAGGCAAAGTTTGGGAACTAGAATGCAATAATTCAAAAGTTGAATGGGACCAAAGAACGATGAGTTGAGAACACCAAGAGTCAATTGGAGTTGAAGAGAAGCTAATGGGACAAGAAATTTTGGGAAGAACCAAAACACACACTTCAGAAAGTTTAGGGACCAAATTGTAAATTGGCCCCTAAAATAGTTTAACTGTGCGTACGCATAGGCTTGCAGGTCATGCGTATGCATGATTGGAAAATTCAGCTTTCGAAGCTAAATTGATGCTACTATGCGTACGCACAAAAATGTATCATGCGTACGCATGGTTCAATTCCGACAAAAAAATTATGTTTCCTTATTTTGTTTCGAAAAGTCTTGGTTTACAATTCTTTACACGATATTTAAACCAAAAGTTGACAAAAACACAAGGAACCTAAATTTTATCAAATTGGAAGCCGACAAAGAGGAAAAAAGAGCGGGATATACATTGAAGAACAAGACTTCATCACTTGAATCCGGAATTGAAGGCATAAAGGGGAGGATTTCAGATTCTTTTCATACTTTAATGATTCGGGTGATGTCATTCTTTTATTTTTCCTATTTTTCCTACATTAATATGCTAGGCTAAATATCTTTGTATTGGATGGATGACAAAACTGATTCACTACTAGTTTTTAATTCAAGACTTTATGTCTTTATCTTAATTCTTATGTTGTGGTTTCTTTAATATGCATATCTATATTGTTTTAATGTTTGCGCACCATTAGAACAATAAGTTGCTTATTCGTAGTGTTGGAAAACTCACGATAGGTAGAACACTGTTATTGGAACGCATGGACAATGAATGTTAGGAATAATATTTGTGACGTGCACGATCATGTGTGATAATCCTATACATCAATGCATGTTTGCCCTATGAATTTGGACAAGGAATAGGATAGTTTCGTGGTAATCATAGGTTTATTATATCTTGGGAAAGAATAATAAATAAATGTCGAATTATTGATCGTTACAATTGCATGAGTTGAGATAATTGTCATAGCTCGAGAATTAGAACTAAAAGTTGATCAGTGGTGTCGAAAATCCAATACATTCACTCATCTGAATTCTAAAACAAATTCTCATAAATTTTGCAAATTTTTAGTTATAGAATTTAATTAGCTTTTCAAACAAACGTCAACTTTTAGTTAATCTCACGAATTTAATTATATTGAATACACTGGAATTAGACATTATTCCCTGTGGGACTATAACTCTTTCATCACAATTATTACTTGTACAAAGAACTCGTACGCTTGCGGGATTTTAACGAACAAGTTTTTGGCACTGTTGCCGAGGAATAACGGTGTTAATTTTAGTTATTGGATTTTTTAAATTTGTTTATTTTTATTTTTATTTGTATTTCATTTTTAGTAGTTGCTTTTAGGCTACCATTACACTGCTTAGTTCTCTTGCGTCTTGACACTTTTTAAGCGACATTAGTTTATGCAAAATCCTGAGGAACTAGATCTCTTTCCAATAAATCATGAAATAGAAAGAACATTTAGCAATCGTAGAAGAGTTCAACATCGAGCAAGGAGGATGGCCAATAACCGAAATCATCCACAACATCAGGTCCAGCTTCACGAGCAAATACCGCAGCCAAATCAACCGAGAGCTATCCAGAACAAAGCCCTTGTCTTAGTTGGAGATTACGTCAATCCAATCCCTGCACCAGTGCAACCAGCTGTAGTATATCCTCCATTTGGACAAACTAATTTCCACCTTAGACCAGATGTCATCAATTTGTTCCAAAATCACCAAGACATCAAGTTCTTTGGAAAAGCCACAGAGAATCCTCATGAACATATTTCGGTGTTTCTTATGCTATGTGAGGTAATCAGTCATGAAGGAATATCAATAGATGCATTTCGAATGAGATTATTCCCTCATACCTTGAAGGACACTGCAAGGGAATGGTTTCTTTGTTTACCACCTGGGAGCATTCAGTTATGGAACGATATGGTTCAAAAATTCACGATGAAATTTTTCCACCTTCTCGAGTTCATCAAGTCAGGAATGAAGTCCATACTTTCAAGCTGAAAGAGCTCGAAAGCTATCCGAAGGCATGGGAGAGATTCAAGAATTTTTTCAGGAAATGCCCCAGCCTTGATATCCCTAAAAAGGCTTAGCAATATCTATTCTACTATGGTCTAAAGCAAGAATTCAGAAATATGATAGATGCTTCTGCAGGAGGATCGATAATGAAACTTGATGTATATGAAGCATATGACTTGTATGAAAGAATAGCTGAGAATCAATCGATGTGGCCAATCGATAGGAAAACTCCAAGGAAGACAGCAGGACGGCATAATGTAGATGCAGTAATAGCACTGGCTACACAAATGGAAGTTCTTACAATGAAAATGGATAATCTATCTCAGTCAGTTAATATGGTACATCAATCTCCACCGGTTTGTGAAGGTTGCGGAGCTAATCATAATACTATGCACTGCCCTCTGGCGTCTACATATGTTAACCAGTCTGAGGAAGTGAGATATGCGCAAAACTTTCAGAGACAGCAAAATAGTTCCTTCTTTAATCCGGGTTGGAGAAATCATCCAAACTTTTCGTGGTCGAGCAATCAGGGATAAGGACAAGGCGGTAACAATTAGAATAAACCACCGGGGTTCCAATAGCAGCAACAACAGCAAGGAAAGAAACCGTCTTTAGAAGATTCGCCGGCTCAATACATTACTAAAACTGAAACTAATTTTCAAAATCAACAGGCCTCAATCAAGAACTTGGAACAATAGTGGGACAGATTGCAGCTGCATTATCAGGTAGAGCTCAAGGGATATTACCTAGCAACACTGAGACAAACCCTAAGGACCAGGTTGATGAATTAGACAAAACAACAGAGGAAAATCAAATCGAGTCATCGGGCAGTCCACGAGTTAAGACAAGCACTCCTATCAAAGCATATGTGCCTCCAATCCCATTTCCACAGAGACTGCAAAAACATAAGCTAACTAAGCAATTTCAGAAATTTTTGGATGTATTTAAGAAGGTGCACATTAACATACCGTTCGCTGAAGCCCTAGCTCAAATGCCCAGCTACACCAAGATTATGAAAGACATCTTATCAAAAAAGAGGAAGCTAGAAGACAATGAAACGGTCATGCTTACTGAGGAGTGCAGCGCAATTCTCCAACACAAATTACCACTAAAACTAAAAGACCAAGGGAGTTTTACTATTCCTTGTAATATTGGTAATTTGTATATAGATAAGGCATTACGTGATTTAGGAGCTAGCATCAATTTAATGCCCTTATCTCTTTTCAGGAAACTAGGGTTGGGGGAAGCAAAGGTGACTACAATTTCTCTGCAGTTAGCCGATAGGTCGATCAAGCACCCGCGAGGTATTTGTGAAGATATTTTTGTCAAGGCAGATAAGTTTATCTTCCCATTGGACTTCATTATTCTGGATATGGAAGAAGATCAGGAAGTCTCCTCATATTGGGTCGCCCATTTTTGGCTACGGGAAGGGCTCTAATAGATGTGTAAAAAGGTCAGTTAATGTTGAGGTTAGATGAAGAGGAACTGACAATCAATGTATTTAGAGCCTTCAAATTTCAGAATGAACCAGATTCTTGCATGCAGATTGACATAATAAGGGAAGCAGTATCAGAGACATTCAAACTTGATCACCCTCCAGATCTGCTTGAGGCTTGCTTGGTGCATTCTCAGGAATTGCCATCGGAGAAAGAGGAAGCAGAAAAGTGTGCATGTTATTTGGCAGTCATACCACCACTTTTCAAGCAGCCATGTTTGGAGCTCAGTCAAAGACCCACAAAACCTTTACCATCTATACAGCAAGCTCCAACTCTTGAACTTAAACAGTTGCCCATTCATCTGCGCTACACGTATTTGGGGAAAAAGAATTTGCTCCCAATAATTATGTCGAACAATCTTACAGAATCAGAGGAAGATCAGCTACTAAGAGTACTTCGGGAGCACAAGACAGCATTAGGATGGACGATATCAGACATAAAAGGAATTAGCCCTTCGCTTTGCATGCACAAGATATTGATGGAAGATGATTACAAAGCTTCAATTGAGCATCAACGCAGATTAAACCTGAATATGTAGGAAGTGGTAAGAAAAGAAGCATTAAAGCTTTTGGATGCAGGGATAATCTATCCCATATCAGATAGCCATTGCGTCAGTCCAGTACAAGTAGTGCCAAAAAAGGAGGAATCACGGTAGTCCCAAATGAAAATAACGAGCTCATCCCTACACAGACAGTCACTGGTTGGAGAGTCTGCATTGATTATCGCAAACTCAACAACGCCACTAGGAAAGATCACTTTTCCCTCCCTTTCATCGACTAGGTGTTGGAGAGACTCGCTGGACATGCCTACTACTATTTCTTAGATAGTTATTCGGGGTACAATCAGATTCCTATAGCACCTGATGATCAAGAGAAGACAACCTTTACATGCCCTTATGGCACTTTTGCTTATAAGAGGATGCCCTTCGGCCTTTGTAATGCTCCAGCCACCTTTCAGCGCTGTATGATGTTAATTTCGTCATACATGGTGGGACATATTATTGAGGTATTTATGGATGATTTCTCAGTGTTTGAAAAATCATTTAAGAAGTGCCTTGAACACTTGGGAAAAGTGCTGTAGAGATGTGAAGACATAAACCTTGTATTAAATTGGGAAAATTGCCATTTCATGGTTCAGGAAGGGATTGTGTTAGGGCATTTGATTTCAACATGGGGTATTGAGGTTGATAGAGCTAAGATACAAGTCATCAAAAAAGTACCACCGCCAGTAACAGTTAAGGGAGTTAGAAGTTTCTTGAGTCACGCTGGGTTCTACCGTCGTTTCATCAAAGATTTTTCCAAAATCTCGAAGCCATTATGCAATCTACTCAAAAAAAGGGCCCCATTTCACTTTTTTGAGGAGTGCTTGATAGCTTTCAACATCTTAAAAGAAAAATTGGTTTCTACTCCAGTATTGGCTTTCCCGGATTGGAATTATTCGTTCGAACTTATGTGTGAAGCCAGTGATCAAGCAGTGGGGGCGGTGTTGGGTCAACGAAAGGAGAAGAGTTCCCATGTTATGCACTATGCCAGTAAGACTTTGGATTAGGCTCAAATGAATTATGCGACTACAGAGAAAGAGCTTTTGGCAGTAGTGTTCGCCGTTGACAAATTTAGATCATACTTGATTGGGTCAAAAGTGATAGTCTATACGGATCATTCAACCTTAAAATATCTACTAAGCAAGAAGGATGCAAAGTCGAGGCTTATTTGATGGATACTTCTATTGCAAGAGTTTGATTTGAAGATTAGAGATAAAAATGGGAGTGAGAATGTTGTGGCAGATCACCTTTCTCGCCTCGAATCTCATGAGTCAAACCCTACAGAGTGGAGATCCATGAAGTTTTTCCTGATGAAATGCTTTTTTAGATTATCACTACACCATGGTACGCCGATTGTGTCAATTATTTGGCCCACTCAATCATCCCATCAGACTACTCGAGTCACCAAAAGAAGAAATTCTTCAATGACCTAAAACACTACTTTTGGGATGATCCAATTCTTTATAGAAGGGGTCCAGATCAAATCATACGCCGTTGTGTACTAGAGGTAGAGCAACATCAAGTGTTAGAGTCATGTCACTCTGCACCATATGGGGGCCACTTCGCAGTAACCAAGACAGCAGCAAAGGTACCACAATCGGGTTTCTAATGGCCTACGCTGTTCAAGGATGCACATTATGTGGTTAAACATTGTGACAAATGTCAAAGGACTGGAAATATCTCAAGAAAGAATGAGATGCCTTTAAACAACATTTTGGAAGTTGAAATTTTTTACGTTTGGGGCATTGACTTCATGGGACCATACTCTCCCTCCTACGGTTAACAATACATACTAGTGGTAGTGGCTATGTGTCTAAGTGGGTTGATGCTGTAGCTTTGCCAACTAACGACGGGCGAGTGGTAACTCAGTTCATGAAGAAGAACATTTTCACTCGATACGGCACTCCCAGGGATATCATTAGTGATGGTGGAAAGCATTTCTGTAATCGATTATTTGCATCGCTGTTGGCCAAATATGGAGTAAAACACCGTGTCGACTCCGTACCATCCTCAGACTAGCGGGCAAGTGGAAATCTCCAATAGGAAGTTAAAGAAGATTCTTGAAGCTACAGTAATGCCTTCTGCAAGAATTGGGCTAAGAAACTAGACGATGCACTTTGGGCTTATAGAACAGCGTTTAAGACTCCAATTGGCATGTCTTCGTATCGACTGGTGTTTGGACAGGCCTGTCATCTGCTCATTGAGTTAGAGCATAAGGCATATTGGGCAACTCATTTGCTCAATTTCAATATGAGGACGGCAGGAGAAAAGAGGGTTCTACAACTCCATTAGCTAGAGGAATTTCGTTTGGATTCATATGAGAAAGCAAAGATCTACAAGGAGAAAACCAAGAGATGGCACGATAGACATGTAAGAGAGACAGATTTTGAAGTAGGCCAGCAAGTATTGATGTTCAATTCACATCTCAAACTCTTTCCTAGAAAGCTAAAGTCTAGGTGGTTAGGTCCTTTCACAATAGTAGCCGTGCTTCCACATGGTGCTGTAAAGGTAGTATCTCAGGATGAACAAAGAGGTTTAAAGTAAATGGACAATGGTTGAAAGCCTATTGGGGAGGTGACTACTCCAATGAGAAGACGATCGTACCTCTTAATAGTACAGAGTAGCCTAAGCAACAAAGTCGAGCTATAGACTATAAAAATAACGCTTATTGGGAGGCAACCCAATTCTCTTCCCTTTTATTTATTCTGTTTTGTTGCATTAGATTAGGATTTTTATATGTTTTCTTTATTGCTTGGGTGTGTTAGATAGATTAGGTGTCATCCATTCATTACTTAGTTGTTGAGTTAATGCACAGGTCACGCAATTTCATATTTGTTTTACACAAGTTTAGGGGAGTTCAATCATTCCAGACATGTAATTGGAGGGCATCGCAAATATCTAGATAAAAAAATGAGATGTTACAGTCATCGAGGCTGAAACGTATAATTGTGGGTACAAGAATGACTTACTTATAATCTATTGATTCCCGCATCAATCGCACATTTTTCGATCATAGTGGTAAAGGTTTTAGTTTGGGAGTGGAACACGAGTGGTCGGGGTCGGATTAAACCAAAACAAACCTTTCAAGATTGGCATTGAACTTCTATGTCATAATCATTTTGCATATTTCTAAACTATATTATGTCAACCATTCAGTCGGGGTGGGTATGGAGAGTCAGTTATTAAAAAACAAAGGTTAACCATGCATACGCACAAGCCTGCATGCTGTGCATACGCACGGTTGGCAGATTGGCCGCCTGAGGCCAATCTGCTATGCACAGCCCGGTCAAGTGAGGGTTTAAATCCCTCACCCAGGCACATAGTCCCCACACATTCCCCCTTTCCCCCGAACACACGACATTCATCTTCTCTTCCACAACCATCGCCTTTTCCTCCCAATTCCCTCCCCTATCTCTTGGGCATTACAAAATTAGCACATTAGAACACTTTGCATATCGAAGTCCTCAAGTCAACTTCTCTACTTGCCAAACAACTCAAAGGTAATGTGTTTCTTTGCGAACTCTTGGGCTACAATTTTTTGTTCATTAACATACAATTTGATGAATTTTTTTGATTATTGTGGAGGTTGGGCTTAGGTAGATGGTGGATTTTGTTTAATTTGATGTTAACATTGGTAGATTCATAACAAAATAGGTATTTGGACATTCTTGCTACAACATTGCTCACAATGTGTTTGTTTAATTGTCCCAAAGACTCATTGATCTACATTTTAGCTTGAATTTTTGCACAACACTTGGGCTTTCCTCAATTTAATGACACCTTATACTTCCTTGCATCCACTCTATTGTATAACTTGAAATTGAAGGGAAACTATACGTTGTAATTACCACCCCTTCCACCACCCTTCCATGTTCTTCCCCATACATAGCATTACACTTTGCTCTTCGTTTGGTACTCATGGTATTCTCTTGATAACAATTACCCCATTCATCTATCTCATTTGCTTATTTTGTGCCTTTTGCAGGAATACCTCCCAAATGCACACACGATGCTCTATCCACTTCAAAAGGGAAAGGCAAAACCTCTTCTTCATCTAACCTAGGCCGCTCTTGAGTTGATGAAGGTGGCGCGCAAAGATTCCTAAGCCCCGAGCATAAGCTTCGATTTGAGCAAGTAGTCACCAAATGGACCGATTTACCCAAGCGGGAAGTGGTTTTGGAAGATTTCCCGGGGTTTAAAATTGAGACATTAATCCATCATGCGGGCTGGGAAAAGGTGATCGCTAAACCATTTGCTATTTATCCTACACTTGTTCAAGAGTTCTACACAAATTTCAACTTCTCCATCGACGACCTTAGGACCGATCACCAGCACCGAACCTGGGTGTGGGATAAATGGTTTATGTTTATACCTGAGTTCATTGATGAATATCTTGAATTA